TGCATTCTGGTGTATTTTAACAGGTTTTAAAACATCTATGTTTACCTACATAAGTAAATCCTTTATTCAATAATTGTTTTAGAAAGCATGGCACAAGAAGTGGCACTAACCTTTTTGTTTGTCTTTAATTTAATTCCTTTTCTTTTTTTTTTAACCTAACACAGGAAGCTGTTAGCTCTGAAAGCAAGCTGTTAAACAGATTTGGACACAAAGACCCTTGTCACACACTTCAAAAGAGCAGGTAAGATACATAAAATATTGTAAGCTCTGCCTGGTGAAGCTGCTTAAATAATTATAAAATATGATAACTGAAATAAAGAAAGAAAAAAATGAGCAACTGTAAATTATATTTACAAATGTCACATTTTTTTGACTTAATTTCAATTGGAAATCTCTTGTTTTTGATTTTTTCTTTTAATTCCAAAAGAAAGGCCAACAAATTGTCCTCCTCCTTGAATCGCCACCTTATCGTGGTGCTAGAGTTTGTGCGCCTGAATAATCCTAGGAGCTATGCTGTCGGGGGCAATTATAATTGCCTCTGGTAGGGTCTCCCAAGGCAGATTGGTCCTAGGTGACAGGCCAGACAAAGAGCGATTCAGATGATTTCTATGGACAAAACAAAACAAGGAACTCGGTGTCCCTTGCTTGGACGTGGGTTACCGGGGCCCCACCCTGGAGCCAGGCTTGGGGAAGGGGCTCGTCGGTGACTGGGTCTCTGCCCATGGGGACCCGGTCGGGCTCAGCCCAAAGGAGCAGCATGGGTTTGCCTGCCTGTGGACCCACCACCTGCAAGAAGGGCCATAAAAGTCAGGTGCATGATGCCATGGGCAGTGGCCAAAGGCGGGGACTTTGGCGCTCTGACCCTGGCTTACCAAAGCTAGCTCTTGGAACATGGAATGTAACCTCTTTGGCAGAGAAGGAGCCTGAGCTTGTGCGTGAGGTTGAGAAGTACCAACTAGATATAGTTGGGCTCACCTCAACGCACAGCATGGGCTCTGGAACTGATCTCCTTGAGAGGGGATGGACCTTATTTCACTCTGGAGTTGCCCATGGTGAGAGGCGTTGAGCTGGTGTGGGTCTACTTGTAGCCCCCCCGACTTGGTGCCTGTGTGTTAAGAGTTTTCCCCGATAGATGAGAGGGTGGCTTCCCTTCACCTTCGGGTGGGGGGACAGGCTCTGACTGTTATTTGTGCCTACGCGCCGAATTACAGTTCAGAGTATCCGGCCTTCTTGGAGTCCTTGGCAGGGGTGCTGGAAGGCGCGCCAGCTGGGGACTCCTTTATTCTGCTGGGGGACTTCAATGCCCACGTGGGTAATGACAGTGTGACCTGAAGGAGCGTGACTGGGAAGAACGACCTCTCTGATCTGAACCCGAGCGGTGTTCTGTTGTTGGACTTCTGTGCTAGTCATACTTTGTCAATCACAAACACCATGTTCGAACATAAGGGTGTCCAGGGGCAGCTGTGGCTAAGTGGTTAGAGCAGTCGTCTTCCAATGCGAGAGTTGGGGGTTCGAATCCACCAGCAGTCACATGTCAAAGTGTCCCTGGGCAAGACACTGAACCCCTCATAGCCTCTGATGTGTGTCCCATCAGTGTATGAATGTGATCTAACGCTCTGATTAGTCTCTTTAGAATGATTTGTTCAATTAGCTTTGTAGAGAGCTAGTAGAGTGCTGTATGAATGGGTAAATGAGGCACAGATTGTAGTGTAAAGCGCTATGAGTATCTTGAAATAAGATAGAAAGGCGCTATACAAGTACAGTCCATTTACCATTTACCATAAATGCACTTGGCACCAGGACGCTTTAGGTTGTAAATCAAAGATTGACTTCATAGTCGTATCATCTGATTTGCGGCCGTTTGTTTTGGACACTCGGGTAGAGAGAGGAGCTGAGCTGTCAACTGATCACCACCTGGTAGTGAGTTGAATCACATGGGAGGGTGAAGATGCCTGACAGACCTGGTAGACCCAAACGTGTAGTGAGGGTTTGCTGGGAACGCCTGGCAGAAAAACCCGTCAGAGAGATCTTCAACTCACACCTCCGTGAGAGCTTTAACCGCATCTCAGCTGAGGTGGGGGACATCAAGTATGAGTGGGCCATGTTCCACACCTCGCTTGTTCAGGTTGCTGCCTTGAGCTGTGGCCGCAAGGTTGTCGGTGCTTCTTGCAGTGGTCATCCATGAACTCGGTGGTGGACACCACGGGTTAGGGAGGCTGTCAAGCTGAAGAAGGAGTCCTATCGGGCCTTGTTGGCCAATGGGACTCTGGAGGCAGCTGAGGAGTACCAGAGGGCCAAGCGGTGTGCAGCCTTGGCTGTTGCTGAGGCAAAAGCTCGGATGTGGGAGGAGTTCGGTGAGACCTTGAATAGAGACTCTCGTCGGCTCCGAGGAGAATCTGGCAAACCAAACTGAGACGTTTATTTTCTAAACACAACATCCCAGTGGCTTTTAAACCTCAAAATACATTACGGCAAAGACTGGTTCATCCCAAAGATCCAGTCCCCCGGTACAAACAGAGCAATGTTGTGTATGCTGTTCAGTGTCAGGAGGGCTGTGATCAGTCTTACATCGGGGAAATTAAACAGCCACTGGCCAAAAGGATGGCCCAGCACAGAAGATCAACAACATCAGGCCAGGACTCTGCGGTCTACACTCATCTCCAGGCCAGCGGTCACTCTTTCAGGGATGAAGATGTTCACATCCTGGACAGAGAGGAACGATGGTTTGAGAGAGGAGTAAAGGAGGCCATCTTTGTGAAAAGAAATCGTCCATCATTAAACAGGGGCGGAGCCTCCGTGTTCAACTGTCCCCCTCTTACAATGGTGTGATTGCTAGTATCACTCAGCCCTCTGTGAACAGTAAACAGCCATCAGTGTGCTAATGATCCATTGTTAGGCTGATGGTCCTTCTTGAGCATGTGAGCAGCTGGTTTTGGTTGTCAGCAGCAAACTGGTTGATCCACTCTGAGACGGTGCTATTTAAGAGACTGAGCTGAAAACAGCACCTCAGACTGAGGAAGTCTTTCAGATGAAAGACGAAACATTTCTACATTTTTTTGTTGTTTTGCTTTGTTTTGTTTTTTGAATGTCCAGAGGACCAAATTTAACTTTTTTAGACTCTGGGTAATATTTACCGGTAAATAATTTTTCAATAATTTCTGTTACGTAGGTGTTTGGCACTGTTCTGTCCAGTGATTAAGCTTCGATAGTTATTGTATTCATTTTGAAGGTATAATGGTTGTAACCATGAGTCAGACAGCAAAGCTTCCTGATACTCGTAATGATCTTGCAGTCTGAGCATGTGTTGAAAGTAAGCTATGTTCTGTGAAATGTCATCTGCTGGCTGATTCTTGTACTACAACAAGAAAGCTGCACACTGTCAGAGCTGGCTGGGCACAGACTATGACAATGAACAGTAGATGCCCGCGGCTAAATAACCGGAGCATCTTATTCATGTACAAAAGTACGCCTCCTCTCAGCCACAGCTGCACTCTGCGCTCTAAGCCACACCCACTTCTCTGCCAGAACGGAAATTGACAGAAGAGGAAGGAGGAGCTGTAGGAGGGAGTTTCTCCTGTAGTGTGGGCTGCACACAGGTGCAGCAGGTGGTAAATAATCTAAAATAATTAATTTTAAATAAAAATTCCATGCTGATCGTGCAGCTCATTCATCAATCAGTCAATTGTGCGTCATGTCCAATCTTATTTTGAAAAACCGCGATAGAGCGAGTCCGCAAAAAACGAACCATAAAGTAGTGAGGGACTACTGTATGTATATATATATATATATATATATATATATATATATATATATATATAT